GGTGCCTCCTTTCTCATGTTCACTCTGATCAACAGCCCGATTAAACTATCGGCCGACAAAAAGTCTATAGTGTGTGGGGACTCTTTTACTCGTATTTTTGTATTGATTAAATTCGCTATAACGTACATATTTTTCTGTTATTTTTGTGTTTAGGTACCTATTTACTTAGATACGAGTATTTTCAATATACCTAATATATCTCGGACAATACTATGAAATTAGGTCGAAGCGCAGTGAACTGTAATTCGTTTACGGACTGGAATTTTTATTCCGAATTTCTGGAATTCAGATTCAAAAGGATTAAACTTTGCTGGGAAAACAAAAAGCTTACTGTGAAAAAGCAATGTGATACATTTAATTACATTTTTTTGTAAGTCTTTTTGTAATAAACAAGTTTAATATAATTTGCTGTTTGATTCGATTTCTTATAAATTAGGACTTGAATCTTATTTATTGTTGTTGAAACTATTTTGTGTACCTATCTTATGTATCTTATTAGTAGCAGTTTGCGGCAACAAGCTGGAATAAATTGGATGCAAGTGTCCGGGGACAGAAGTAGGCGGAAGATTGAAGAGGAGGCCTATGTTCGAAGACAAGCCCCAAAGGCTGATATAGATAAAAAGATTTTAGGGTACCTAAGTAAGGTTTAATTGGCCTCTGAATTTGTGACGATAGCAGGATTAACTAGGAAGAGCCTAAGAAATGCGGACGGCAAAATCCCCTTTTGTATGTAGCAGATCTTTGTTCGGAAGACAGATAGTCAGCAGTATTGAAAATGTTGCCAATAAAAAAATAATGATCTACAGAAAACCACTCTGATGTTTTTGTCGGGTATAAGTAACCGAGACGATAAAATAAAAATTTCGATGACCAATGTTAATAAAAGAAACCTAACACGACTATATTGTCTCGTTATTTTTTCATGGTAACCATATAGAAAGATATATGATCGTTTTTTCTTCTTCGTTAGGAGTTTAAAATGAATACTAAGAAATTCATTCATACTTCTTTTTTTTTTATTTAAGGCAACTAACTTCTTTTGAACTAGTGAACAAGAAACGCTTCGGTTTGCCGAGTTTACAAATTCTACAAAGTTTCACATACGTTTTACAGTTTCAGAAGCATAATAATATGCAGCGCTTTCATTTATATTTTCAATTCCAAAGTCTTGGAAAAACAACAAAGGATTCGCCACACTGGATGCGGTCTGCGGTCAGGTCAAAGTAATCATACCTACATTATGCGGGCTGCATTTACTTTGAACTGACCGCAGACCAATGCAAAAAATCCTTCATCCCTTGTTAATTAAAGAAAAACGAAATGAGTGTAAATTCCCACCTCTCGTTCCCACCGCTGCAACTACTGTATAGCCAGGATCTACAGCTTGACCGCGAATAAAATCATTGAAGGTCAAGTTTTTCCCGGAGGAAAGTTAAAATGTCATTGGACCCGCAACGAAATTAATCAGAAGAACATAGGAGGGGTTCGAAGTTTAGGTTCGACTTCCCTCCCTCTCCCTAAGCCAGTGAAATTTCCACCAATACCTTTAAGCAGTGTAAAATGTAAATTATTACGTGCAAATATTTGAAAAGTCCGACCCAAACCCAAATCACTCACTGTCTGTAATTTAGTTCACACAGAGCATTTAAAAAACCAGCATGTTTTCTGAATTTCCAATAAGCTAAAGGACTCTACACACTAAACCTTGGTGTCGGCGGCTTTATTTCAAAAGAATAATATCACATCAAATATTTTTTTTGTAAAACATAGGTGACGGAATTCAGGTGGTATATTTGAGTAGTGCTCTATGTTTGGCCTATGAGTGGCGTAAAAATTAAATAAAACTCATTTAATTATGCAAGTAGGCTCTTAAAAAGCACTTTTATACGTTCTAGTATTAACCCTACCACTCATCATCATCATCATCATCTCAGCCATAGGACGTCCACTGCTGAACATAGGCCTCCCCAATGTTTCCCATGTTACCCGGTTTGTAGCGGCCTGCGTCCAGCGCTTTTCTGCTACCTTTATGAATTATGATGTCGTCGGTCCCTACCACTGCTTCAGGACAACAAATAGGCCAGTGCTCAGAAAGTCTCAAATAACGATACAAACAAAACACATGCTAGTTGTATAATGTCATTTCATTATGTCATATCGACGACTATTTCTCTGACTTTTGACATGTCAAAAGTCGACGGCTCATATAGGCGGTTCAGCGGGTTTGGTGTGTACATAGACTGTTTAGTCAGGTTTAGTTAGGCGAGTTGCACTACCTTTACATTAACCGTAACTAAACCGTTAACCGGTGTTACTGACAGACTATTGCATTATTTTAAAGTTCAGATGGTGCAACTTCACCTTAATAATAATTACTTTCCCTTTCTTATAATAATTCGACAGATAATGGTTATTTAGTTAAATAAACACTGTTTTTAGTTCACTGTTGTTTTATTTTCTCTTACAATTACACAGACATGTTTTTCACCACAGACAAGTTTTTTTTTTTTTTTTTTTTTATAATATTACGGTCCGATCATATAGGGAATAATCCATCCATATCGCCGCCCAAGGACGATTGCAGTCCTTCAAGATAGAGGAATGAATAGACACCAATCGAATAATCTAGTTGGAATCATCCAGGGGTAGAGGGCACAATTTGGCAATTGGCCTTTTAAAAATACCGTCTTTATACTTTAAAGAAACAACTCGAGTTACCCCATCTGCACCTGGGTGCTTCCGAACAACACGCCCCAAAAGCCATTTTCCAGGAGGAAGTCTATCATCCTTTACTAATACAACGGTACCTATAGCGATTTCCGGCTGATCTTTGTTCCATTTGTAACGATGTTGCAAGGTTGTCAAATATTCATTCTGCCATCGCTGCCATAAACATTGTACCATACGTTGAATTATATGCCACCGATGCAAAGGGCTAAGTTTTACGTCCACTAAAGATGGTTCCGGTACACCAATTAAAGGTTCCCCAATAAGGAAATGTCCCGGAGTTAAGGGAGCTTCATCAAAAGTAGAATTTACTATAGTAAGAGGGCGGGAATTAACGCAAGCTTCCACTTGGGTTAAGAGCGTAGAAAACTCTTCATAAGTAAGTAAAGTTTGTCCGATTACGCGTTTTAGATGTCCCTTAACACTTTTAACTCCTGACTCCCAAAGCCCTCCGAAATGAGGTGAACTAGGAGGTATAAAGTACCAAGTCGTTTTGTCATTAGCCAAAAGTTCCGAAATTTCTGCAACGAGTTTAGATTTTGAGTCATGAAAGGCAATGTTTAAGTCGCGAGACGCGCCTACAAAATTGGTGCCGTGATCACTCCAAATTTCCTTGCAGTGGCCACGACGGGCAGTAAAACGTCTAAAAGCAGCAATAAAGGCAGCTGACGTCAGGTCAGTAACCAGTTCTAGATGAATGGCTTTTGTGACGGTACATACGAATAAGCAAATGTACACTTTACAAGTTCTCTTACATCTACCAGGATACAATTTCATGGCAAACGGGCCAGCAAAATCTACACCACTAGTTAAAAATGGACGACTTGGTTTGACACGAAACTTAGGAAGATCTGCCATAAATGGCACAGAGGGATTAGCTCTCTGTTTAAAACATGGTACACATTTTGAAAGTACACTTTTAACTAGATTTTTGACTCTAATTATCCAAAATTTTTGTTTAATAACATTCAAAGTGAGTTGATTTCCTCCATGCAAAGATTTCAGATGTGCATTTAACACAATAAGTTTAGAAAGATTAGAATCGTTACTCAAAATAATAGGATTTTTCATATTATCTGAAATCTCTGCATTGGCAAGTCGACCACCGACACGAACTATACCATTATTATCTAAGTATGGATTAAGTACATGCAATTTACTTGATTGGTGAACTCGCTTACCCTGTGACAGGCAAGAAATTTCCTCATGAAACGAATCAGATTGAGACATCTTAATGCATCTGTTAAAAGCGTCGTCAAGCTCCATAGAACTCAGATAAGCGGGTTCATCAAACAGTGTCCTATTTATTTTTGATTTACACAGTTTAATAAATCTCAAACAATAAGCAGTTACACGTATCAATTTTGAGAGAGTTGACCATCGTTTCAAATAAGAAAGAGTATCAGCATTTTCAAAAACATTCACATTCGCTTCTACTTTAGTTTTAACTTTCATTTCCAAATCGGTGACTGGGACTACATTCTCATGGTTTACAATTGGATTACAATTTTGTAAAAATTGTGGGCCATTCCACCACAGGTCTGACTGTTGCAAATCACTTGGGTATACTCCACGTGAAGCTAGATCGGCTGGGTTATTCGCGGAACTAACATGATGCCACTGGTTACTATTTGTAAGTGTCAAAATTTCTGAAGTACGATTAGCGACAAAGGTAGTCCATGTAATTGGTGTTTTACGCAGCCAAGCCAGAACTATGGTTGAATCTGTCCAAGCATAGATGTTCTCATTTGGTATATTAAGTATAGTTTTAACATGTTGTATCAAATTTGCTAGGAGAACTGCACCACAGAGTTCGAGACGAGGGAGTGAAACTTGTTTGACAGGTGCAACTTTCGATTTGGCCATAACAAGATAAACTTTAACTGCATCACTGTCCCAAACTCGGAGATACACAACTCCAGCATAAGCAGCACAGGAAGCATCACTAAATCCATGCAGTTCCAGTTTCATTGTACTATTAGAGATTCCAAGCCATCTTGGGAACTGAATGGTTTCAGCGTGTGTGAAACGATTAACATAATTAATCCATTCTTGTTTCAAATCATTAGGTAACTCTTCGTCCCAATCCAAGCCAGCTAACCACAGTTTTTGCATAAAGATTTTAAGGGTTATTATACTTGGTGTTAGCCAACCTAGTGGGTCGAAGGTTTTTGCAATGGTAGATAATACATTTCGTTTGGTGATATTATCATTTACAAAATTTACACATATGTTCAATTCAAAATTATCTGTTTGTGAGTTCCATGTAATACCCAAAGTTTTCAGAGTATCTTCAACTTTTATATGGACTTCATTTTGTAGTTCTTTGTCATGATCAGGAATCTGTGATAGTACTGCTTTACTATTTGATGCCCATTTGTGTAGAGGGAAACCACCGCGTGCTAACAACTCAGTCAATCGTTTTTGAAGTACAGCAGCATCATCTTCACTGGATGCCCCGGTCATCAGATCGTCCATGTACAGATCAGTTTTCAAAATTTCTGCTTCTACAGGAAAATCATGTTTTTCATCTTCAGCGAGTTGGTGAAGTGTGCGTATGGCTAAAAAGGGAGCGCATGATGTTCCATAAGTTACGGTGAGTAGTCTATATTCCTGTATCGGTTGTGTTGGGCATTCTCGCCACAGTATTCTCTGGTAGTCCACATCATCTTTGGATACTAATATCTGTCTGTACATTTTTTGAATGTCAGCTACTAAACAGAATTTATGTTGTCTCCATCTTGTAATCAAGTCTCTGACATCTTGTTGTAATGGGTATCCAATCAAAAGTTCTTCGTTTAACGATTTTCCTTTTTCAGGTACAGCACTTCCGTCGAAGACAACTCGCAGCTTCGTGCTCAAGCTTGTCGGCCGGAGGACAGCGTGGTGAGGTAAGTAGTGACGTTTCTCTATTTTCTTCTCATTTTCAGGTACTATCATCATGTGACCTTGTGATTCATATTGTTTCATGAATTTGTGATAATCTTCCTTGAAGTCTTCGTTGCGTGTGAAACGTTTCTCCATATGTTGCAGGCGGTTAACAGCAAGGAACTCAACATCACCGAGGTTTGTGGGTGGATCATCTTTGAACGGTAAAGACACAATGTAACGTCCATCATCATTGCGTTTGTGAGTAGCCTTAAAATGTTCTTCACATTGTAATTCCAATTCTGTCATTGGTTTCTTGTACTGTATATTCTCTTCAATTTCCCAGAATTGTCTCAATAATTGATCTACTTCCAATTTTGTGTGAGTAACTACCATGTTGTGTTCTAGTGTTGCAGCATCAGTTTGTGAGGCTCTTCCAGAAATCAACCAACCCAGACGAGAGTTGAGTGCGATGAGTGAATTATACTTGCGAAGACCTTGTAGCAGGATGTGAGCATGCACGTCGGCACCAAGTAAGACGTCGATAGATCCTGGCTTGTGAAAGTTTGGATCAGCTAGATCCAACTGCATGTGTGAGGGCCAAGTATCTTGTGGGAATTCACGAGACGGCAGCAATGAAGTGAGTTTCTTGAGTACGTATGCATTCACTTCAAATGTGGATGTTTCACATTTTGTGGAGTGTATTGTGAGTTTCACCATAGATTTTGTAGTGACCACTGATGAGTTTGATATGCCGGAGATTTTGCCAATAACAGGAGTGCGGTCAAGATTCAATAATTGTGCAGCTGCTTCGGAGATAAAGGAGCCCTGTGACCCTTGGTCAATAAGAGCTCTCAGTGTATAAGTATCACTATTCCTCGACTCGACCTTTATTTCAGCGGTTGCTAATATAACTAAGTCATCATTTGTTTCAGCCTTCAAGTTGACACTGAGATTGCAAGAAGCGCCAGATTCAGTATCATTTTCCTTTGCTGTAGATTTGTTACTTTCAGGTTTCTCGGTGTTATTCGTTTGTGAAGGTCTTGTGAAATGTAGTAAGGT